CTCAAAACATTCTAGTTTATAGCTCTGGAGAGCATAAGATCTTTCTTTTATCCCCACTTGATTTAATTTGAACACTAACATAGGAGTTGCCACAAAGGAAGCATTCATCAAATGGTTAACTAGTATTATTGTTGATGATAAACATTTTCCTTCCATTGAACCCTTACTGTTCCTACCACCATAAGGGAGGTATCTCTATTTAACAAATGAGGAAGCTGTGCTCATAGGGGTTGGGTAAACAGGGCCAAGTTCACGGAGTCAGTAGTGGTGGCCCTGAGCTGTCTATCTCAGTGCACGGGCTGCACCCTACCTGCACCCTACCCATCACTCCGTGGAGATGAAGAAGTTAGACTTTATCACTTTTAGTTATTAAAAAAGCTCCCAGCTTGGGGCTATATTTTGAAAAAAGGTCAAAGCTGTAAGTCTTTAGTATTGTGGCACCAGCAGCAGGTCAGCTTATCTTGAAACCTTTCTAAAAAATCTGCCCTCTGATTCACCCCGCCTTTCCCCCACCCTTTGTTTTTATTGTCTCCTTTAGGCAAGGGCTAAAAGCACCACAGTGAAGAAATAAGTTTCATCTACCAGCAAAATCAGTGCCTGCAGCTCAGGCAACACTCCTATTGGGTCCATTAAGGACACATGGAGATGACCAGAGATGCCACCAAGAAGGCCCACATGACAGGACAGATAGCCTCCATCCTGCGCCATTTTGCCATGAATCATGCTTAGATGTGGCAGGAGAGTGATGAGAATGACAGAGGCAAGGAGAAGAGCTGGTGAGTTGGCTGGAAGTGGATCTAGATAGAATTATAACTATCCAAACACTAACCTTGCAAGATGAGGAAGAAAGGGGAAGGAACGGTGGGATGGGGGTGCGGGGAAGGGAGGATTGGTTGGATTTAGATCTCCCAGTTGAGGAGCCAGATGCATCCCGCCAAATTCCCTCTTTTTCTACCATGCTCTGGACTAAGACAGCTCAGTCTGAATAGCCCAGATCTCTACAGGCCAAATGCCTTGTGAAGGGGAAGCTGGAGAGTAGGGAGAAGAATTTTTCACCTAACCCTGCAGACCAGCCAGGCTCTCACAAGCTCACCAGTTCATCGAGGAAACAAGAAAGCAAGTGACAAAGCAATAAGTGTTTGAAGAATCTGTTGTGTGTCTAGAACAGTCAAACAATTTGGAAAAATATATCAGAACTGGAGGACTCATACTTCATGATTTCGAAACTTACTACAAAGCTACAGATATCAAGACAGTGTGGTAGTGGCATAAGGAAAGGGACATAAAAATCAACAGAACCGAGTGTCCAGAAATAAACCCTCATACTTTGTCAATCGATTTTTGATAAGAGTGCCAAGACAATTAATGGGAGGGTGGGCGGGGTGGGCAGGGAAGAATAGTCTTTTCAACCAATGGAGTTGAGACAACTGGATATCCGCATGCAAAAGAATCAAGTTGGACCCTACTTCACAACATATACAAAAATTAACTCAAAATTTATCAAAGACTGAAATTTAAGAGCTAAAATGATAAAACTCATAGAAGAAAACATAGAAATAAAGCTTTGTATTAGGCAATGGTTTCTTAAAAATGACATCAAAAGCACAAGCAACAAAAGTTAGGCTTTATCAAAATTGAAAACGTTTGTTTCAAAGAACATCATTAAAAAAGTGAAAAGGCAACACAGAATTGCAGAAAATATCTGCAAATATTATATTTGACAAGAAACTTGGATCTGGAATACATAAAGAACTCTTAAAACCCAATAATAATAATAATAACAACAACAATAACAACAACAACAACCCAATTAAAACATATACAAGGGATCTCATTAGACATTTCTCCAGAGAAGATATACAAGTGACCAAAAAGCACATGAAAAGATGCTTAGCATCATTAACCATCAGAAAAATGCAAATCAAAACTGCAATGAAATACTACATCATATCCACTAGGATAACTATAATAAAAAAGACAATAAGCTTTAGTGAAGAATGTGAAGAAACTGGAACTCTCACACCCTGCTGGTAGAAATGTAAAATGGTGCAGCTACTTTGGAAAATAGTCTCAAAGTTTCTCCCACTCTTAGGCATACACCTAAGAGAAATAAAAAACATGTCCACACAAAAACATGTACATGAATAGCCATAGCAGCATTGTTTACAACAGCCAATAAGCGGAAACAACCAAAAACACCCATCAACCAATGAATGGATAAATAAGATGTGGTAAAGCCATATAATGGAATGTTATTTGGCTATAAAGGAATGAAGTACTGGTACATGCTACCACATGGATGAACTGTGAAAACATTATGCTAAGTGAAAGAAAGAAGCCAGACACAAAAGACCACATAATGTATAATTCCACTTATATGAAATATCCAGAATGGACAAATCATGGGGCAAAAGGTAGATCAGTGGTTGCCCGGGGTTGGAGAATGGAGAAAATAAGGAATGACTGCTGATAGAGACAGTGTTTCTTTTTGGGTTGATGAAAATGTTCTGGAATTAGATAGTGGTGATGGTTGCATAACCTTGTGAATATACTAAAATTTGTACTTTAATATAGTGTATTTTGTGGTATGTAAATTAGATCTGGGCTGGGGCTATGGGGAGTGTGGCACAAGGCTGAAAAATGGGGGATTAACATTCAGTCATTTGGAAATGGCTTAGGAACTCAACAAATGAGCTTTTAGAAGTGGTTAATCCTGTGTCTTCCATCCTTGTGAATGGATAACTCACTTGAATTTCAGGTATCTGTGGAAAATCTCTCAACTCTGCAGTCCAACCAACTCTCCATCCACTCACCCACGTAACCATCCGTTCACCTGTCAATTCAAACTTTTACATAGCCATAAGTATTTTTTGGTCACCTACTATGTGTGTGTGTGGGGGGGGGAGGGGGCACTGTGAGAAACATGAGAAAAACCCCAGTCCCCTTTCTCAGACACCAAATAATTTAGTCAGAGGCAAACGGACAACTATGAAGTGTCAGGAAATAGTCCAAGATGGTGTATGATGTGGACTAATTATCCCATTACTAGCAGTAATGAAAAGACAGAAAAAGA